GTGAAGAAGAAAATCCATCTGTTTATACAACGATTAAAACAGGACTTCTCCATCGTCTTTCGAAAACGAATGAACATCATACTCCTGCTATTGACTTAGGTCCCACATCGAGACCTGATGGTCACGGAGGTACACAACCGCCAATACATGAACATTCCCATGGACATGCTTGTAGAGAAAGAAAAGAAGCTGGTGAAGAAGAAATAGGAACACAAACTTTAAAGATTAGAATATGGCTAGAAAGTGGTAAAAAACATAAAGAAGGAAGGCGCTTTGTCAGTTATGAATTACTTATTCCAAATTTAAAATAGATGCATACAATAAACAGTAGCTCGAATGTTGTTACCCAGGCAACTACTTTGGTGATACTTACTCTCTAACGACACTTGATTTTCTTACAATGATAGCCAAGGCGATGTGTTGAGAGTGAGGAAGATCAAAACGATGTCTATATCTAAATTCAATATGTTGTTGATCGTTTTTTTATTGATAGAAGTTTTAAAAAGTATCGTTATAGAGAAAATATCACGAGAGTATCTGTTGCCAGGGTAAAAGCATCTTGAGTTCATGAAAAGTTTATCACGTCAGAATATTATCATACGAACTCAAATAGTTTATGAAAAACCTTTTTAATCTCACTCGATATTAAGAAAGTTGTTTTCAATTCAATAAAACGCATTTTCTATAACATAATATATTCGAAGAAAGATTACTACTGTTTTTTGTTTGTTTTTCTTTTAATGTAACATAGCATTTTGTCATAAAGATATTTTTCTACGCTTTAATAATAATTTTATGGCATTTGTTTTTTTTTCTCTAATAAAATTTTATCTTTAAACTTATTTTCTTTTATCTTTGCTTTATCGTTCTCTTGCTTTTTCAATCACCATTTAGGATTTTTCTTCAAGAAGAAGATTATGTGGTCGAACAATGTACTCTAATCTAGGTAAAATATGGTCTAATTGTAATGTGATTGACTTTCATCAATTGGAATAACATATGATCTCATGTTGAATCAATTGATAAATAAGCAGTTTATATTTCATTTTTAACAGTACTAGCGATTGATCAGGTTTTTTTGTTGTATAATAATATTGGAAAGTGCAATCATTTGAATAATTCTTGGAATAGCTTGACTCTTTCGCTCATGGAAATCAGCGTACGAATATGGTTTTCATAAGTAGTACATCATCATTATGTAGATTATCTCAAATGAAGAGAAAATGTTATGCATTTGTATGATATGTGTAAGCCTGTTCTATTCATTGTTGTCAATATATTTATTTATAATAATTCAACCAATTTTTTTTATTAAAAATACATGTTAGATTTGTAAATTTTAGGATCTGATTTCGTTATGTCATGAGTTACAAATAGTATCCGGTGAAATAGTGTTATACAATAGCTGTTTTTTTAGCGCACTAGTTGTACTGGTATGACAACAGTTACTACCATTTTGATGGAACGTATAGTATAGTATGCCATCGACTCAAGTTGATGTGAAGAATTTGTAAGTATTGATGAGACAATCAATAGTCTCAGGAACATGAGTGACTCATTTCTAACAATATAATCATAAAAGATACAATCACATTGAACTATAGTCTTTGGGTATGTATATTAACGTATATCAGGTTATTTACAACATTAAATAATATGCTCACGATATCATCTCTACAGAAACAGTTCAACATTCATATCTATCGGTTCACATTCATACGTTTTAATATTATTATTAGCACTGTAAAATATCGAATCGATGAATAATATAATCTTAATGACGACAAAATAGATTTTCAACATTTTTTATTCAAACGTCTCGAAATAAATAGTAGATATAAACTGATCTAATAGATTTAATCAGATTATTTGTACTTGAAAAGAAATTTATGACGAGAAAATTTCAAAGATTTGTATGCATCTATTCTGCTACAAAGTGATTGAAGAGTAGTTATAAGGATGTTGATGCAAATCTTTTCATCTTTGAATTTTTAAACACTACAGTTTAGTTAGCCTCTATAGGAATGTTTTTTTTCAAATATCTATTTATTATTTGAAATAAAATTTCTTTTTGATTATATTTTTTGTTTCGAATCATATTGAAGTTTAATCAGAATTAAACAATGCAAAAATTAAATATAGTTCAGAAAATATATGATAATCTGGATTTCTTTGACAACTGTTAATGGTGATCAATAGAATGCACGCAAATGCATAGCAATTCCAACAGTTAGTTGAGAAACAAGAAATACTCATGATGAAGATGTAATTAATCGAAAGAAGCCATAATTTTCTCCATTCTAGTTGAGACTCTCGTTCTATAAAATGATTTTTCTACTGAATTTGATAAGTTATATAAATACCATCAAGTGTTAAAATTTGAGCAGCATCTCGATTGATTAATTGATTCTATGTGTTTGAGTAAACTATATAACGAAGGTTATTCGTTGTGGTTTCTATTTTTCCAGAAGTAGACATTTGCATGAAGATGACGAGGTGTTGGTCGACATCATATATGACGAATGAATTGTAGAAGACAACATTTGAATAGCATAGATCGATGCGATTCTCAATGTGGAGCGCAAAACTATGGTTTACTAGCTACTTATATAGTATCGCGAGTTAATTGTAAATAAATAAAATTGTGATTATTGACATAGACATTATTCGATGTTAAATTGCTGGAATCTAGAAGTATTTCATTATTTATTTACTATTTTGACAGTCCATCTCATAATGTACAATCTATAATTTGAAAAAACAACTATAATATAAAGCCATTGTTCGCATAAACTTTATAGTAGAATAGCTTATCGAAAGTAATAGAAGCTGATTCATTTCTTCTTTTTCAATTATTCAGAATCGCTCACAAAATGATTCCTACTATGATAGCGATCTCTGTTAGATCAAGACCAATACATATATTGATTCTTCTCATGAGAAACTCTACAAAGTATGTTTCAATATAACTTCAAAGATGAGATAAATTTAATTTTGTTTTTATTGCACAAAAAAAAAAATAAGTCTTGACTAAAAGATTTATGTTGAACAATTAGTAGAAAAATGTAAATTCAACACTAAAAAAATCCTGGAATCTTTTTGCATTTTGAAAAGCTCAGTGAAGAAAAGCATTTTGAGAAGATATTATTATTTGAATATATTCTCGCGAATACTTATACATTCAATCATGTTCTATATAATCTTTTAAGAAAATTTTTCCATTTAAGAAATAATAATGAATGGCATATGAATCTATGAGCATGTTCTAGCGCCATCTTCTTCCAATAATTTAGTATCTATTCAATTTGGTAACCAATTAACTACCTTCATGTTTTCTGTAATATTTCTGTTGAGCAAAATTGTTGCACAATGGTATCTACATACAAAACTCTTAAACAACATTGAATCGATTTGTTTTACGTATGAAGAAACAAAATTGTATCTATTGGAATACAAATTGTTTTGCTTCTGGATCAAATGTTCATTAATAATCATAATGATCTAATATATTAATGAAATTGTTTTGATGTAGACATCATGGTAACAAATAAGAAGTGAAAAAAAATAAAGTAACGTTTACATCATTATCAACATCACTTTATCTGCTATGGAAAAATTATTGATTTCCTCAAGCAAATTCTTTAACAATCAATGATGTTAAAATATGTTCATAAGTGTACCCCAGTGAAAATCCAAAATGAGATTTATGACCATCTCAAATAAATATTGCATGTAATTGCCAATCATTTAATCATAATTGTGTTGTTATACTCTTATCGTTAAATAATTTTCAAGCTGTTTGATCAACTATTCTTATTGATCCATATCAAGTTATTATTTTTTGAATGAATGTTCGGATCTGAAGCATAACGAAAATGATCATTATATATTACTTACTAATAGCAATAATGATATGAAAATATTTATTATCTTTGATTCGGTTCCCAAAGATGGTAACGTTAAACAAGAAAACTGTTAATCTATTATTCATGATCGAATAGAATCAACGGATTAGAAATGATTTTTATAAAGTAGTCAAAAATATAATTTTCTAATAATAAATTATTTATTTTTTCAATATTTTTAGATAAATGATTCTATCGATGTTATACTTCATGTTATCAATTCAAATCTAATTTGAAAAGGAAAAAAAGAACAACTTATCAACATCTGATTTTTATTTTTAATGAATGTGATTTGGTTTTCATATAATTAATACAATGATGAGTATGTTCTCATAGAAAATATTCTATAACCAGACTAACATCTGAAACAATTCTTTTCAATACATGATCACTATAAATATTTATCTAAGACATACTCATTTAATGAATTTTTAACAGTGATTAATTTTCTTTTAAATTTATCTAAAGTAATGCAAAAAAAATTATTCAAATATTTAAATTTTGAATAACTTTCAATGTGCATTTGACCTCATCGTATATCATTATTTGAATATTCGCTTCGAAAAGTTTAAGATGATATATTATTAAAATATTTAGTGTTTATGTCATTAGAAGAAGAAATATAATATAAACCCATATTTCAATCATAAAATTAGTTTGTTAAGATTTCATTGTACAAAATATTTTAATTAATATAGTATAGAAATAAAACTTGTTAACAGAATGTTTTAAATTTAATATGAAAGTATTGAAATAAAGATTTTAATCATATTATTGAAAAATGCTCGTAAGATGTCTAATTGAAAAATTTGAAACATAGTATACGATACATAAATGTTGAAAACCTAAGTTTTTCATTCACACATAGTCCTACTGTTTTTAGAACTTCTCAAAAATGAATTTTAATCATGATAAATATTTTTGCACTTTTTCTTATTTTAACTTTTATTATGTTGACTTAAAAAGAAGATTATGAAATCTAGATTTTCTGAAAGCTGGTTTTCTATTTTTGTGTATAGTCAGCGTAGCCAATAATCAACGTTACAAATAATACTAGTAAATACTGTGCCTTTTGACAGAAGTTTTAAACAATTATAAGAACACAAACTTTTAAAAATGTCCAAAAATATGAAGTTTTTTTTTTAGGTCTGCAAGAATATGTATGAAGCAATAGAAAAATAATATATTGTATTGAGCTTATTAATGGCAGAACAAATATTCAATACTAAATCGCACATGACGTCAGTTTTAACGTTATCTAAGACTTCAAATAACTTGTAAGAAATCCATCCATTTAGCTTAAATTTTTTTTTCAATTATAGCTATAATAGCTACTTAACATTAAATACCATTTGAAGCATCAAAAAAATTCATAGTCAAGATAAGGAAAAATTATTTATTCAACCTTCGTAAGAAGCTATTTTTATTAGTTTTAAAATTATGAAATCTAATACCTTAAAATACTTTGTAAATTTTTACTTTGGATATATATTTCAAAGTACATAGTTTGGTCTCTTTTTGAATGAAAAAGTTAGGCTTCTAGCATTTTTCATTTGAATACAGCAGGTCTTCATATATGTGCGAACACTTTATGCATGGTAGAATAAAACAATTGAAATACATTCAAGCCATATATTTTAAATTAAAATATTTTATACAATCGATATTTTTGACCGTCTATTGAAAGCTAAAGGAAAACAGCTGTTTCACGATATGTCAATAGACGTAAAGTTGTAAACGTTTTTTTTTATTCATTCTGTTATGTAGCTTCGACTGTTTGTTTAGTTTCGAATAGAGTGACATTGAAATTATGCTTTGAATAAATATATAAGTTTTATGTTTGAAAACACTAAACAAGACAAGCTGATTCACACTATTCTTTATTGTTTATGCATGATACCTTAGAACGAGAAACAATAAGATGTTTTGCATTATTTTATATTATCTTTTGTCATTGTATAACAAGCTGTTTCAATTTTTGTGTTATGGAGAGCTTCCAAATTAATTGAGTCGAGAAGAACAACAAGAGGAAGAAAAATCGAAATGAAAAATATGGCAATAAAAATATTCAAATGATGATGAGATTGATCATATTAAACATGAAATAAAAAAAGGGTGAATTTATTGATTTATTTTTTGCGTTGCTTAATAGAAAATACAAGTCTTGACGAAATTAAATCCTACATTTAAATTAGCAATCGAAAGAAAAATCGTTTGTTATAGACTTTTAATTAATCAATATAAAGTATTCACTAATCAACGATGAATTTAATAGTTATTCTAAAAAATTTAAGAAGAAAATCGATTTTTTTTTAATATTGTAGTATTTCAATCACTTTAATTTCTAATCTTTCTTTTCAGACAATATTTGTTCTTATTCGTAGTATAATATGGCGCATTTATATGTATTATTCGCACTATACGATGATCTGTCTGAATGCGTAAACTTTTATGTTCTGACTTGTTCTATCTTTACTAATCAACATCCTTAATGTTTTCAAAATATGTTAATGTCAATATGTTTAAAACATATTACGATATAAAAGAAGTCGATCGATTGACGAAACTTATTATTAAAACGTATGAATGACATGAATGCAAACTTAATACTTCGAGGACTACGTAGTCTTATGTGTCTATTACTTTTGAATGTTTCGATTAACAGCTATGGTACTTATAAACTTTTGTTTTATGAATTCAATAAAAAAAAGTAGTAGCGGAGATCGATACAGTTTTTCATGTTCTACAAAATGACATAGTAATCACGTATATTTATAACTTCTCTCATAGATTATACAGGGTTAAATGAGTACGATATTGTACGGATTTAACCGTGTATAATCTAAGAAAGAAGTTATAAATAAACATTATTATTATGTTATTTTGTAGAACATGAAGAACTGTATCGATCTACACTATTACTTCTCGTATTGAGTTTATAAAAGAAAAAAATTACAGATGCCATAACGATTAACTCAAACACTCAAAAGTCATAGACACCTAAGACTACTTAGTTCTCAAAATTTTTTGGTTTACATTCAACAAAAAACAACATAAATGGAGAGAAATGTGAAATATTTTGTGCTCCAGTTTCCTTTCCTATTGAAAGTGAAATTTACGGGATGGCAGATATACAACCTTCTGCAGCGGTGTTGTTTGACATTGATTTGTTAGTTATAAAATAATTTTAATGTTGCAGAACTTTAAAAAAAATAGAGAACGATCGTTTGATTAAGGAATGAAAAGAAAAACAGTATCAAGTAACTAAAAGGTAAATAGTAATCTACCTATAGATGAAAATAAAATATGAATTGAAGTATCGTAGACGATTCTGAAAACATTATCTGAGATATTTAACTAGTTTTTTTTTCTTCTATAGATCAAAAAAAAAAGAAAAAAAACTTTTTGAACTGTGAATTTTCTATCTTTGTAGTGAAAACAATCTACGATCCATTCTGTCAAACAAGAAATGTACGAACGAATTCAATAGATTTTATGTGTTTGTATGAACAAATTTTTTTCTGTCACATTGGCTTAATTAAAAATAGCTGGTAGTATAGTATAGTTACATTATTAATTTATAACAATGCACAATAACGAATCTGCTCAATCATTAAAATAATAATAAAAAATAAAAATTTTGTAACCTGTATATTTATTGAATAATTAGTTTTTTTTTTTAATCAATTAACATGTATCATTAATCTGTGTTTTTTTTCGAATAAACAATTATGATTCTTTCTTTTTTTTACGTTTATTTGTAGACCAAGTTATCACATAATTTTGTTGTAATCTATGTCATAATCATTAACAGATAATATGTCTACTGTTCAAAATCGTCTTTGGATTTCATTTGCTGTTGCATGGACAGCTTATGGATTAACTTATTTCTTACGCAAACCATTAGGAGTAGTAAGTGATAAAATATTTTCTATGTTTATTTTCATATTCATTTTGATTTTACAGATTAAAACTGATCTTGAGAATGAATATAAATATTCAAAATTTCAATTGGGTCTTTTTGATACAGCACTCTTATTACCTTATGCTCTCATTCAAGTAACATAACAAAAAAATAAATAATACATTTTATGTATATAAAAATATATTTCTTATTTATATAGACTTTTTTCGGTTCATTAGGTGATCGATATGGTGCTCGACGTACATTTGGCTATGGTCTTATTGGTTCTGGAATAGCAATGGTAACATTTTTGATATACAATAGATTATCGATTGATTTAATTTTCATTTAGATTACATTTGGATCATGGGATAGTTATGGAATTTTTCTTTTCTTACTTTTTCTCAATGGTGCATTTCAAGTAAAAAATAAAAAAAGAGAAACTAATTATATAAAAATCAAATATATATTTTTTTTTTCTATAATAACTTTTAGTCATTATGCTGGGCAGCAGCTAATAAAGGTCTTGGTGCTTGGGTAACTGATACTCAACGTAATTTTATCTTTGGTCTCTTTGGTACATGTCCATTTGTTGGTGGTATAATTGCTACTGCACTTGCTGTAAGAAAATTCTTAATTGAATATAAATCTATTCATTTTCTTTTTCATTTTGGCCTTTTGATAGGTTTATATTCAAGGAAAAGATGGTTGGCGTTTTGTTCATTTTCAACCATCAATTTATTGTGTATGTGAATATTTCTATACATATATATATATATTTTTTTTTTAATCATTATTCAAAAGAAAATTTTCGTATAGATCATTGCTGGATTGGTAGTTCTTTTTCTTTTTCAAGAACCATCTGAATTAAAAATGGTTGTTGCAGGAAAAGGTAAAAATGAATTTTCAACAATCGTCTAACTAAGAAAAAAGAAAATTACATTTAAATAGAATCAGTAGCAAAAACTTCTGATTTACGTTCGAGAATGACAATTATGGAAGTATGTCGTTTGCCGTAAGTTTTTCAAAAAATAATTTAATCTATTTAAAATAATTATTTATTTATTAGAATGGTAAAAGAAATAGCTGCAACTGTATTTTGTTTGAAAGTTGTTCGATATGCTATTTATTTATGGCTTCCTTTATATTTAAAACAAGAAGTAAATTGAATTTGAATATTTTTCTTTAGAAATAAAAAGAGAAGTAATGTATATTGAAACTTTAATATTTAGCTTAATTATTCAAAATCTGATGCTGGTCTCTTTTCAACAATGTTTGATGTTGGTGGAGTTGTTGGAAGTGCTACAATTGGATTAGTTCTTAAACGGTAATCTTATTTTATAATTTAATAATATTTATTATCTTTCATTTGAAGATTTTTCAATAATGAAGGATGTCTTGGTGCAGCTGCTGAAACATTATTTAGTGCTGGTACTCTTCTTTTCTTTTTAACATTTGCTAAAGCAGGCATAACTATTAATTCAATATTAATGTTGATTACTGGAGCACTCAATTGTGGTGCTGATATTATTCTTTGTAAGTTAAATAATTTTTATCTTATAGAAAATATTTTTTCTTAAAATAGATTTTTGTATGAATATTTTTCATAATTGATATCATGATAAACTTTATAAAATAATATTAATGAAAAGATATATTTTTTGTTGAATAATAATATTCGTTCTTTTTTTTGATCTTTCATATATCATTCTACATATCAATGACTTATATTTAAAAGATCAATTCCTTTTCTTAATTGAAAAATGAAATGTCAAGACTTTTGTGCATAACTGATTCATTTAGTTATCGATATTTGATATAATCGAAGAAAGAAAAAAAAACATATTCTATATTAGGAAAAAAATAATATATAAAATCATGAAATTAAAAACTCAAGTTTTTTTTTTTTCGTTCTTGAATTTATTATCGTCTCATTTGTCTTTCTTAATTTCTCAGGTAGTTCAATACCAATTGAAATTGGTGAAATGGATGGTCGTAATGCTGGTAGTGCAGTTATTGGTTTTGTCAACGGTATGTGTATTATTCAATTTCATTCTTGACATTTCCCACAGAAATATTTTCTTCTATACAAATCACATCATTCATTCTCACACAAAGTCTCTCTCTCTCTCGCTTGCGCTCGCACCACTCCGAAAAGAAAAAAAAAACGGAAAAACCAAAAAGAAAAACATACACAGACATATTAAAAAAAGAAAACTTGGAATGACACAACGAAATGGAACACAAGACAACATCGGAATGAAATAAGACATTAAGATCAGATTTTTAAAAAAAAATCAAGAAGACAAAAACAAGAGAAAAAAAATGGATTAAAAGAACGACTAGAAGAACACATACATGCATGATCATTTCACTTGAGAATAATTGACTGAGTGGAATGGATTTGTTGGTTAAAATTCAAATATAATAAAGAAGAAAGAAATAAAACAAATAAGAACTCGATTAGGAAAGGAAAAGCTTTTATGCTGTATTTTCAAGCATAAGTAATGTGAGTAAAACTGGTAAAACATGTTCATAATGTTCAATAGGTGTACCTTGTAATTTAATATGGGAATTACGTCGTAAATATTCATATAATGTAAGAAATTCTACAAGACCAAGTGTTTCTTCAAGATATTTACGTAAAACATTCATTTTTGATTGTCGTGATGATTTTGAATGTGCCGCTGAATAAAGTGCTGTAAACGTATCATGTGATGTTAATTTACGTTTATTATTATTATTATTATTGTTATTATTATTGTTATTGTTATTATTATTATTATTATTAGCGGATGATATTGATACTGATGTTGGTGTTTGAGCAACTAATGATGGTAAATCATCAGCAGTAACAAGTGGACGTTGTGGATGATTTTGTGATTGTTGCTGAAGTGGAAGCATTGATGTTAAATGTTGATGATTAGAATTTGTACCATTATTCTAAATAAATACATTAGAACAAAAAATTGTTTTTACATATGAAATAACAATTTTGTCTTACTAATACAGAACATGGCATTGGTAATAAAAGTGATGGTGGTGTTGATTCTCGTTTTATTTTTTTTGCTA